CACAAAAAGCATGAGTGTAAGTTCACCATCCTCATTCTCACAGTCTGTCAGCTATCTTTAGGTTTCTTGGAAATTCCACTCTTGGGGTGGGTTCTGTATGGAAATAGCTGTCTTCACACACTTCAAATGCTTCTTCAGCTGGTGTCTGTGAGTGCCTACAGCATACGTCACTGCTAGAACAGAAAGTGACTAATGGCTGTTGGACACATCCCTGGAACTGTTGGGCCTCCCTGACCAGCACGCAACTGAATGTTGTGTAGCAGGTGATTGACAGACTGATAATTGAGGTGGTTGTCCCTGAGGATTGGTCTGTAAGGCCAGAGTTGCTGAACAGGGATTCACTTGTGATAGAATTGTGACTCTACAGGCAGTTCTGCCTATCCAGTCAGTTTTAGTTGTCAATGTGACAGGCAATGGTTCTCACATTGACAGCCGCTGGGAGTGTGCAGTCTGCTTTGCAGCAACTGCAGGGAAGTTGAGCTGAGATTTATTACATCTGAACTGTGTCATCAAGGAGAAACAGGAAAAGCTGCTATCAATGCGGGGGATGTAGTAGGCTGGGCAATGGCCTCTAATGGCCATTCATGCCCTAATTCCTGGAGTTCATGAGTATATTATTTCCTACAGCAAAAGAGGTTATGCAGATGGCACTGGGGATAAGAATCTTGAAATGGGGAGTTTTCTCCTTTGTGGGAGTGGCTCATGTAGCCTGGTGATGTTTCCTAAAGGAATAAACCTTTCCAATATCTCATCAAAGAGCTCTTGGTCAGTTGTGATGATTCTGCTTCTAAAGATGGAAGGGCCATCAGTGACCCCAAAAGTCCGGGAACAGACTCTTCTTACCCAACAGCCGACAGAAACACAGACATCCCAGCCCATGTGTTCTATCACAGATGAGCAGCGGGTCCTCCTACAGAGCCTCCAGGAAGCATCACAGTGCTGTGGTCTCTTGGTTTGAATCCAGTTATTTCTGTACTAGACTGTAATACAGTCATAAAAGACAGTAGCTCTGTGTTAGGTACACTGCTGGGCATGTTCCTAAGAGCATAGAGAATGGGGAACTTTGCACTGCAGATGGAGAAAGCTGGCTACATTAATAATGTTATATTGACACTGGAAGGATGGTCTTTGAATAAGACTTGGATTTCAAATCTCCCAATATACTCCAGCAAGCACACAGTCCCTGAGCAGCTGATGGGACAAATCCTTCAGCAAAAACTCAGCAGTGAATAGTGCCCTTAAATGCCCTTCTCCGATAATGAGATTGATGACTACCTTATATGCCATCCTAGAGCTTTCATCCAGCAGCTGATGTAAGCAGAAGCAGATATCCACAGAACTCTGGAATCCAGTTGCAGAGAGGGAGGAGTGATGAGCAAAAGGGTCAAGACCAGGAAAACCCCACAGAAACAGCTGACCTAAACAACGGGGAGCTCATGGACCCTAGACTGATAACATGGGACTGTTCCAGCACCCCTGAATGAGTATGTCAGTTTGGAGGTGTGGCTAATCTATGGGCCTCTGGTAGTGGGTCAATATTTATCCCTAGTACACGAATGGACTTTGGAAGCCCGCTCCACATAGAGGGATACTCTCTCAGCCTAGACACACGGGGTAGGGTCTAGGCCCTGCTCCAAATGATATGACAGACTTTGGAGAGTCCCCCATGAAAGACCTCACCCTTCCTGGGGAGCAGAAAGGGGATGAGAGAGAGGTTCAGTGTGGGGTAGGGGAGGAGGAGAGGGAGAGGGAACTGCGATTGACATGTAACAAGCTTGTTTCTAACTAAATTTAAAAAGGAAAAAAAATAAAACAAAGAACTCAGCAGTGGATGCCAAAGATTCCTTTGACTATAATGATTAGGGAAGTTCAAAGCAGATTCAAGGCAATCGACTAAGGCTGTAGATGAGACTATCAGACCTGTCAATCTGAATCTTTGAGGATGAAGCCTAGGTTTATGGGAGAAGAGGATAGGGTGGATGGACACCTTTGGAGGATCTTAATCTACTTAGAGAGAGCTGAGAATGGAGAAATCTAGGAGAGGTCTGATGTGAGCAGGGGTTTTGTGAGATGCAGTGATTCCAACTATGTGTATGTAAATGCCATCACCATATGTGTGTATAAATAATGGGACAGGGGCATTGTGCCACAGGGCAAATGTGGAATTCAAAGGACAACTTTGTGCATTTGGTCCACCTTCCTCCTTTACATGGGTGGGTTCTGGGGACCAAACTCAGGTCACCAGGCTCAAGCAAGAATCTTTACCAGCTGAGTCAGATCACCAACTCAGCTCAGCTCAGCATTAAAAAAAAGTTTTATTTTTATTTATGTAAACCTGTGGGTGCCTGTGCAGGCTAGAAAAAGTGTCTGATTCCTTGGAACTGGAGTTACAAGCAGTTGTGAGCCACCAAGTGTGGGTGCTGGGAACTGAACTCAGGACCTCCGAAAGAACAGCAGGTGCTCTTAACTGCTCAACAGTCTCTCCAGGTCTTCAGAGTAGCATCTTTTTGTAGATCTTAAAACACAATGTTGTGAGATATTAGCAGCCTAGGTTTAATATTAATTTTTTTAACCTCATTTGCTTTTTCTTTGTATGTCTCCCCTTTTTTTTTCTTTCAAAATCTTTGGAAGGGAAGTTTGTCCTGAGAATTAAGGGCATTTGTTTATGAATGTACAGAATTAAAGGAACAGGAAAACGTAATTCTATAACATCTAATATCCAGTCCATTTTCAAACTTTCCTAGTTGTTCCTCAGATGAAATCATATCTCATTTGGTGCTTATCTCTCAATGTAAAATGACGTACTTAGTTTTAAGTTTAAAAGCTTTAAATCTGCTTGTTCTCTGTGTACGTGTGTGGATGTGTACAGCAGGGTCAGAAATAAGCCTATGGGAGTCAGGTCTCTTTCCACATGTGGTTTTGGGGAGTATCGTGCCATATCCTGACCAAACCCCAGACCTGGACAGGTGAAATCCTTGTAGGACATGCAGAAGGACCTCATTAGTTTACCCTATGCCTTCTATCATGTGAGCACAGGATATCTAGAGGACACTGCCCATTAGGAAGCAAAGACTAGGCCCTCAGCAGACAGGGTTTCTCTGTGTAACATTCCTGGCTGTCCTGGAACTAGCTCTTTAGACCAGGCTGGCCTCGAACCCAGAGCTTCTTTAATTACCAGAGATTCCAAATGGAGATAAGCTTGTCCCCTATTCTTCAGGCCCCACCCAGAAAACATTATGCATTCTGGGAAAATGCATAGAACTAATTGCTAAGCTGACCTGCAGAATCAGACTCTCTTTAAGGAGCCAATAAATGAATAAGTTTTTTGTTTTGTTTTTGTTTGGTTTGCTTTCTCCCTCCCCCCAAACAGGGTTTCTGTTTATAGCCCTGACTGTCCTGGAACTTGCTCTCTAGACCAGACTGGCCTGGAACTCACAGAGATCCATTTGTGTCTGTCTTCTACATGCTGGAATTAAAGGCCCTTGTCACCACCTCCCCTCAGGAATAGTTTTACAGTACAAATAAAGCCATGCCATTGTGAAACAAAACCAACACTGAGATTACTTCATCTGTGGTGCTAGGTAAACTTCATGCCGCATTACTTGAACCCTTAGGAAGCCAGGATGAGTTGGGAAAACAAATATCTCTGGGGTGGAGATTAAGCACCGTGAGGCACAGACCCACACTGATAGACAACACATAGGAGTTAAGGGGCTTGCGACTGTGTGCCATGCAGCCTGAAAGGGAAAGACCCAATTGTTGTTCCTAAAGAATTTGTCCTTAGAGATTAGCAGCTGCTAGGGTGAGTCCATGCCAAGCAGCAGGTTGGAGACAGCTCTTAACTGTGTCCTTGGAGCACATGACAAACATGCTGCCTGCCTTCGGACGGGTCTAAATCTACTTAGAGAAGAGATGGGAGTGGAGAGCCTAGGAAAGGTCTGTAGGTGAGATTGGGTATGAGCAGGAGCTGTGGAAAACGAAGTTTCCAGTGGTAGAGATTAAAGGTGACTTTTGAGCCTACTCTTGCCTACAAGACTACATTTCAAATATTCTAGCAGCAAATAATGGCTCTGAGATAAGTAAACATCTAAAACGCTTTCTATTTTTAAAAGTCTAATGAGCACCTGTGAGATGGTGGCGCACGCCTTTGATCCCAGCACTCGGGAGGCAGGGGCAAGTGAATCTTTGTGGGTTCGAGGCCAGCCTGGTCTAAAGAGCTAGTTCCAGGACAGCCAGGAATATTACACAGAGAAACCCTGTCTCAAAAAGCAAAAGCAAACCAAGAAAGTCTAATATGCTATCCAGCTTGCTTTAGAGCCACCTTAAAAATATTTTTTAAATGTTAAAAAGCCAATAAAGTCTGGGAGATTCTGGGTTTGCTTTCTGTATAATGGCAAAATTATTCTAATATTGAAACAGCAGAAGGAATTTATGAATCAGGCTGGGAAACTATAGAGTAAACCATTATACTTTTCTATATGAGAGGCATCCCAGAATAGGAACAGCAAAGGGAAGTAGGGTTCTTGTATAAAGGATTATTTTTTAAAGGGTCAGGAGAATGTGACATTACTACATTAATTTCGAACATATTAGAGCTCTGGAGGTAAGAAAAATACATGGCTGTGTCCTGTGTTTGTGGACTAGTCAGATAAAGGTGTCCAAGTATGTTGCTGGAAATATACACTTGGTGCACAGGTGACACTGCACAGAAAGTGATGTCTGATAACATAAATCTAATGGAATGGTGTGGAGAGAAGAGGGCCCCTCAGTCTTAAGTAGCATTTAGTACAATGTGGAGGAGGTTGCCCACCTGCGGGCTCTGAATTCCGGAGGAAATGTAAACTGCCGGACAAGGAGCCAGAGCAGATAGATGGTCCACTTTGCTAAATTCACCCCTCCAAAGCCAGGCGGCCTCCAGCCACGCAGCCTAGGCGTTCTGCACGTGGTCCAGGAAAGCGCGGGAAAGGCAGCTGCGCGTGCGCAGCCAAGAAGCGGTTAGGTTAGTGGCAAACAGGGCCCTGAAGAGAATGTAACAATGGAGTTACCTCCTCCGGGAAACCGGAGGGTTTCCATCAGTAACCCTCAAGAGACACCGCGCAAGTTTAGCATCTCCCAGGGGTTGATGCGTCACCGCCCTTCTCTGGCCTCCTCGGCTGGTACCTCGAGGTTCTCCACCCCAGGCCCAGGCGGCATGCAGCCCCAGTCCACGCTGCCCAACCACATTCTCCAGAATAGCTCCCTGAGCCCTCCAGACACCTCCATGTTGCACAGAGCATCCAATGTCTCTTCTATGCGATTTGCCGATGAACAAGGCAAGACACCCCCGGCCACGGAAAAAGACAAAGCGAAGAAGGACAAGGGCAAGAGCACGGGGACTCGGCTGCTGAACGTGAGTGGCCCGAGGGCAGGGCAGGCTGAAGATGGGAGGCCTGAGGTGCCCTAGGGACTGAAAGGGTCAGTGCTCGCAATCCTGGGACCTCCCGCACTTAAAAGGGGTGCCACTAGAGACCTTAGGCAATTACTTAAACTTCCGGTTATATGTAAGACAGTGAGGAACCGTCACTACATGCTCATGGCAGTCAATACCAATGCTGACATGTCATTTATCTGAGTATGTGCCGAACCCCAGAAACCTTATTTTTATTAATTTATTTTTGTTATGGAGGGTTTTTAGTTTTTTTGTTTGTTTGTTTTGTCTTACTACATAAGCCCTGGCTGATCTGGTACTGTGTTAGTTCCTTATCCCTGCCCTCCTTTCTGATCTGACAGTTTTCTATAAGGATAAAGAATCAGTTCCTTTCTCTTTCCCTTTGTGTATCTACTGTAGGTCTTATCTTTGTGGTTCCTATGAGATTATGTAAAACACTTAGAGCTACAGTCTGAATTTATTAACAACTTCAATGACATACAGAAACTACTCTTTTACCCCTCCCACTCATTTTGACTTGGCGATGCTATTTACATGTAACTATTTTGACTTTTTAAAATTCAAATATTTATTTTACATCTCGGCCTCAACTCCCAGCTGGTCCTCCCCTTCCAGTCTCTCCCCTCTCCCCCCATCATTTATATCAGAGATAAGCAATTTATATGCCACTGTTACAATATTAGGATATTATGACTTTTTCTATAAATTTACCTTCACTAGTAAATAAATTATGTAACTGTATAGTTTCAAATAATTTTCTTGGAGCTCAGGTGTTTTTTATTTCTTTATCAAGGCCACTGTTGATACTTTTATATTTTTCATTTTATTGACTGTATCAATCATACTTAGAATATTTAGCTGTTTTAATCATATCTCTGTGCTAAACTTCAAACTTTGTGTCCTGCTTTCCAGATTTTTGTTGAATTGTTTTCTTTGGTTCCCTGGACATTCTTAAATCATTTAGAATGCTCTTTCAGAAATGTATGGATTTCCTTTTCTTTGGAGTTGCTTATTAGGAAATTGCTCCTTGGTGGTGTCATGTTTCCCTGTGTGTGTGTGTGTGTGTGTGTGTGTGTGTGTGTGTGTGTGTGTATGTGTGTGTGTGCCGATGGTTGTGCCCTTGAGGGAGAAGACTTGGTAGACAGTTTGGTGTGGGTGTGCTGGTTAGGTAGGCTTTGGAGGTTCTTGCATAATCTCCATGTAGCTCAATCAGAAGAGGCCGCTTGTGTCTTTTGAAGGGTTCTTCCAGTTCATTAGAAGTGTTTATGTTGGAAGAACATTGTTTGTAGCTGTAGCAATTACCTTATACAGCAAAACAGTGTGATGGAATTTAAATGGGGAGATTATCCTGATAATCAGAGTGGGCCCTAGAGTCAATCACAAATGTCCTTATAAGAGAGATTTAGAGGAAGATCTGGGCATGCTCAGAAGAGAAAAAAGAGAGACTATGGAAGCAGAGATAGCAGTGATGCAACCAAGAACTCTGAAGAGGCAAGAACGGGTTTTCCTCACAGCCTCCTGAGTGGGATGGTCCCGATGACCCCGTGATTTTAGCTCAATGTATTGATTTGGACTTATGACTCATGGATGGGGTATGGCAGCATTATGTCTCCAAAAAGTTTAGGAAAGCAAATATATTAATGATAATAATTACAGCTATCTAATTGTGACATAATAGGGGTGATTCTAAATTTCTTTAATTACATCCTTAGCAGTGGAAAACACATAAACACCTACTAGCAATGTGTGTTATGTATCTATACATTGTGTGTGTGGCAACTTATTTCAAAATTCACACAGCCCAAATTTTTAGATGATAAATGGTCAGACTTGGTGGCATAGGCCTATATAAGCCCAGCTACTCTTAGGAAGCAAAGGCAGGAAGTTCACATATTCAGAGCATGTCTGGCTACAGAGTGAATTCCAGGCCACACTGGGTAACCTGAGGAGCCCTGTCTCAAAATAAGAAGTAAAACTATAGCAGGGTCTCAGTGACAGAGGACTTATCTAGCAGGTACTAGGCTGTAGATGAAAAACTGAAGGAATGAGTGAATGAACAAGGGAACCAAGGGAGGAAGGAGATTTCTAATTGATTTAACTATTTTCTATTTATTAGTACAAAATCAAACCATCACCATGCTTGAAAAGCATGTTCTGAAAGTCAAGTTCTAATGTCAGTTTATTTCAGGGCTTGATTTTGATTTTTTTTTCTTTGAGATAGGGTTTCTCTGTATTGTTTTGGAGGCTGTTCTGGAACTCGATCTGTAGTCCAGGCTGGCCTCGAACTCACAGAGATCCACCTGCCTCTGCCTCCCGAGTGTTGGGATTAAAGGCGTGTGCCACCAACGCCCAGATTTGCTTTTGGTTTTTAACTTGCATTTTTTGTACATCTGTTTATACATGTATGGTGAATGTACACATATGTGTGTGTGGACGCATGTGCAGAGGTCAAAGGAGGACATTGGGTACAGTGCTTTATCACTCTCGGCTGTAAGAAAGAGCCTCTCACTAAACTTGGAGCTAGCTGACAGTCAGCAAGGACCAGCGATCCTCCTGTCTCTCCACCCTTCCCCTTGCTTCCTTTGTTTTTAACCAGAGTTAATTATACTTCTCCACATTTACCACCTTAAAATGTTTCCATAATTTTTTATCTTTCCTTACCCATCTGTAAATTTAGGCTTGATAGACACTATAATTGTTTGACCCACATAACTGGCAAATGCAATACTCTGAATTCAGATGCAATCATCACTGGTGTGCTCCCTGACGATCAATGAGCACTTCCTGGGGATGTTCATCTACTCCCCAGAGACAGTCGTTTGTGTTTGCTTTCTTGCTAATGAGAAATAGGAAGTCATAATATTTTCTTCTGCAGCCTGTGTTTTGTTTTGCTTTATTTTGTGGTGGTTCTTGTTTCGTGGGGACAGAGAACCTCAAAAGGTAGAGGATACCCAGCACTCAGGAGGCAGAGGCAGGCGGATCTCTGTGAGTTCAAGGCCAGGCTGGACCGACAGCCTCCAAAACAATACAGAGAAACCCTGTCTCATAAAAACCAAAAAAAAAAAAAAAAAAAAAAAAAAGGTAGAGATTAGCCATTGCTCTTAAACTTGGCTAGGGAAAAGATTGTTAAAAAATACATTTTGAGTTACCAATTCTTTGCATAACGAAGACTTGGCTAATGGGGCAGTTGACTCTTCCTCTGATGTAGAAGAGTTGGGCTGGAGGGAGCGTGAAGACAAATGACTCCCTTCTTGGAAGCAGTTTTGTATAATGATGAAACTGTAGTTCACTTGTCTTCAACACCAGCATTTACCACTTGAGGGCAAGAATACTATTAGAACCTGGCTGGTGCCAGGCATGGAGTTGTGTCACCACACGAGTTCTCGCTAAATGATTAACTTAAGGGTGATGGGGGTTGAATTAGGACCAGGAAGCAAAAGCATTCTAAGAAAGGTAACCGTGTAGGTTAGTGGGCAAAAGGAAATCTGTGGGTAAGAAGTCTCCAGAGAATGGAATGTAGACAAGAGCAAGGGTGAAGATGTTCCTGTAAAAGTCACAAGGGCTTTCTCAAAATGGGACTGAATTTTTGAGATGAAAAGTCCAATGGAATTATCTGAAATTAGACTTGCTCCAGGCCCAGCAGAAATTCTAGGTCGTATCAGAGTCTTTATGTGATGTAGTTAGAACCTTTGCCCAAGATTCTGATAGGAAATTCAGCAAATACTTATTTTCCTGCTGCTGCTGACGGGAGGGAGCTGTGTTCGGTTGAGGAAGGAAAATTACAAAACTAAGGAGGCGGGCAGAACCATTGTCAGGACCTGGGCACAAGCAGTCTGTAAAGAAGGTGTCTTAAATGGTCCAAATTAGCTTTTGCCTACCGAATCTCACATTCCCCAGCCAGGAGTGGAGTTCATGCCTGTCCCGGAGCATGTGGGAGGCTGAGGCAGGGGCATTTCTGTGCTTTTGATGACTGCTTAGGTTACATAATAATCTCCACCTTAGCCGAGCCACAGAGTGAGACCTTGACAAAGCAAGGCAGACCTCCAAAATAAGGAATATGAATACAATAATAAGCATGACGTTTCACTTAAATACATGCACAGTATATCATCATTTTGACATATTGGGGGGGATAAGATAAAGATGACTTTCAGCTCAACACAGTATTGCAAGTCCTAGTCTGAGCAATTATGTATGAAAAAGGCTGGAAAGGAAGCAGTCACACTCTTATGGTTTGCAGATGACATGGCCCTACAGGTAGAAAACTTTACCACAAAACTGTCAAAGCTAAATTGAAAGAATTCTGTAAATTTGGGGGTTACAAAAGGCACATGCAAAAATCATTAGTGTTTCTCTACGCTTATAGAAAAGCGACTTGGAAAAGTAATCAAGAAAACATCTCCATTTGTAATACGTATGGAATGAATTTAGTCAGAGGCAAAATATCTGTACAGTCAATAAATACTATGAAACATTGATGAGAGAACTGAAGAGAATACAAACAAATGTAAGGAATTAAATTGTTAAAATGTCCAAAATTCTAACCGTGAGCTGCAGATTTTGTATTTTGCCAGCAGAACCCAGGCATACTGTCTAAATTAACTTTGTAAAGGGTACTCTGGGAATCACTTGCCCCTGCAGCCCATTCTCTTCAGCCCACCACAGCCCCCGAGGTACCAGTCTCTGGCTTACCCTTCCTGTATTACTGATGTTCCAGCCTTCTGTTGTTGTCTATGTTACTCTTTAATAGTAAAGTAATAGGTGAAGCCAGCCTTACCACTTATTCTTTAAGCAATTTAGTAACTTTTACCTGCACAGAGTGTCTTTGTAGAGGTTAATAATTTTTCAAGCTGTATCTTGGGAGTGGATCATCGTGAGTTAATCTTTCAGACACCCACAGTAGATCCTATAAATATGTGGATTTCCTCTTATTGCCTAAAAATTTCTTGAAGAGAATAATT